TCACCTCAGCCTCCCAAAGGTGCGGGATTACAGGCTGAGCCACCGAGCCCGGCTTCTCTTGTTTTCTATGAGGTATTTGTATGACTATCTTCTCCACTAGAGAGCATGTATCTCCAGGGTGAGACTCTCATTATTTATCTTTCAAACTTTTAATCAGTTCCATTATTATAAGAGAGCAATGAATCTAACACAGTGCCCAGCAAATAACAGGAAGTAAATATTTCTGAATTGAATAAAAGTGATTTTCATAGATGACTAAGCTATTCATTAGATATTAAGTAAATGATCCTAAAAATGACTATGCTGGTCTAGGGTCACTAATTACTCTTTGGAACTTGTGTGTGGTAGTGTGTTCATCAGGAGAAATCTAGTTACACAGTTGTCTAGGGCCTGCGGAAATTTCAAGTGTGTTTGACTAGACATACCAAACAGGCAGTCAGGGGTTCACATGTAATATTTGAGTTCTGATCATTAGATTGTGCTATAAAAATTTTGTTGAACCAATTTTGTGAACTTTTCCAGGTCTGCTACCGTTGCTATTACACTCAGAATGGCATGGCACTCATACTTGCTCCATGTGACTTTGAGGTTTAGCACGACTGTGTTACTTCCTGTGTAACTCTGGAAAGGTTACTTAATCTCTGAGTCCTAGTTTGCCCACCTGCTTAATTGGGGACAGTACCTCACAGGAGTCATGTAAAGACTGAGTAGCAGTGACATGATGAGGGATATTAAGTACTTAGGACAGTGCTTAGCACAAATGAAAACCTCAAATGCTACCAGTGTTTCGCCCTGGTGAGTTGTGCTTAGGTGAACACAAAACACCCATCAAGGTTGCTTAAGTGCAGGCACCTTGGAATTTAAAGATTCCAAAGTTTACTTATTTTATTTTATCTTATTATTATTTTTTTTTGAGTTGGAGTCTCACTCTGTCGCCCAGACTGGAGTGCAGTGGCCGCTCCTGGCCATCGCAGCTTCGACCCACTGGGTTCTGGTGATCCTTCCGCCTCAGCCTTCCGAGTAGCTGGAATTACAGGCGCATGCTACCACACCAGGCTAATTTTTTGATTTATTGTAGAGATGAGGTCTCGCTGCCCAAGCGGGTCTCGAACCCGCGGGCTCAGGCAATCTACTCACCTCAGCCTCCCAAAGGCACGGGATGACAAGCTGAGCCACCAAGCCCGGCTCCAAAGTTTACTTATTATGTGACTTGGGCATATTATCTACCTTCTCTGCTACTTTTCCTCATCTTAAAATGGACATCATAATTTGACTCACCTCCTGGGTTTATAACAAGGATTTAATGAGAAATGCACATGAAACAATCAACAGAGAGCCCAGCATACAGTGGGGACTTAATAAATGGAGATGATTATTATAATTGAAGGGAAAACGCCTGCTGTTATATTGACAATGATTACTCAGGGCAATCAAGAGAAAATAACTTAAAAAAATAAATGCCAGGTCTTTCATAGTATTTCTTTTCATTTATTCATTTTTGCATAGCTTTTTATTTTTAAAATTAGTTCATTATAACTTAGTAAGAGTAACTGCTTATTTGCTGGGTTTGTTGTCATCATCAATAAGATCCTAGGGGCTGCCTAGGAAGGCCTGTAGTTTCAAGCCACAGAATCAGAGGAAGGAGAAGAGGTCTGGTTACCCTTCACCTATCTGACACGAGGAAATTTACTTCATTGTCCTGGCTGTGTAAGATTTCTAAGTGGAAATATCAGCTAAGAATTAAGGTGCAGTTGTTGGACAATTTCAGACAATTCATGCCGAGTAGCTTGGAAGATGCTCTCAGCACTACATGTCCCCGTATCTCCTCAGATGAGATGACAGGCAAAAGGGAACGTGAAGAAAACAGCCATTCTAGTTGGGGACTACATAGCATTCTTTACAAGCAAGGAGTGGTTATTTGGACACTGCTAGAAGCTGCCATGTGAAACACTGGTGCTGTGCAACCCCTGCTCTAATGGACAGCTGCTCTGAGCACCTCAGGAGCCATTTTTATGTGTGAAAATTCTCTTTTTAGTTTCAAATCCCTTCTGTTGCCCTCTTTTGTGGGGTTTTTTTTTTCAATTTCAGAAATATTTCAGAAAAATTTTCTCTTCCTTCGATTGGCCACTTATCTATTTTATTTGAAAATGTGTTTTTAATTCCACTTTTTTTGTTGCTTTCTGTTGTGGTACTTCTAGGTAAAATGTGTAAGCCATGCCAGCAGCTTTATGAAAAAGCTGTGGGCAAAGAACCACAAACTCCAGTGTGCGTGGAGGATAAGTGAAAGACTGCCAGGCACTTCAGATGTCTATTGTTCTCATTCAGTTTTCTTCAGTAGTTGGGTTTCAGTTACCAGAGCCTTGCTGAGAGGAGTGAAACACAAATCAACTCCCTGGAATCCCGCCTCACCTCACCCCACCCTTGCCCGTCTTTTTATATCCCTTGGCTTCAGAGTGACAAAGGATTCTGTCAGTCTGATGTTGTATCTGAACTGCTGCTAATGTCCTTTTTCCCCCACAGAGGAAATCAGATGTTCCCAGAGTAGTGAGACTCTTCTGTCAGAAGACAAATGGAAGGTGTTTGTGCTGACAGGAAATGCAGGGACTCAAGCCAATGTCACACTCTGGGTGTATGGAGACAAAGGAGTCATTGGGCCAATAAGTCTAAGCAAGGACAGCCCAGAACAGCTCTTCCTTCCAGGACAGGAGGATGAGTTTCAGGTAAACAACATCAGCAGTAGTATTTTTCGTTGAACATTCCAAAGGCATTTCGGTGACATACAAGATTGTCTGTGTCTGTGTGTGGAGGGGAATGGGGGGGAGGTGCTGTATACAATGAATCTCTGGTCTGTTAGAATCCCCATAAGTTAGTTATCTTAATGCTTACTGTAATAAACAAAGAAAATATTTTTGCTCATGTATCTTCTACAAGCAAGGAAGCTTGTAGAAGAAAATTGCTTTCTTTAAAGACTGCTTTAGGCCGTTAGTTTGAACCTGGCCCTAAAAACCATCCACCTCAATTCAAATTATAACCAGACTATAAGCCATATAAGAGTCTTTTTGTCATGAAAACTCTTCTTTCACATATTTGCCTATGTTTTGAATGCTGTTCAGCTAAGCTGAATGGGTGTGAAATGGTTGTTTGTTTGTTTTTTTCTTTTTTGTGGCTCACACCTGTAATCCCAGCACTTTGAGAAGGGTATTTTCTTTTTTTAAAAAAATTATTTTCTCTTTTTATTGAAAAGGTCTTGAGTATAAAACCATTTTCTTGGCATCTTCACTGACCATGTTTTAAAGCTCTGCCCATGAGCCCATGAGCATTCTAATTTCTCCTCTGGGCCATAAGTTTGAATATGGCTGGTTGCCTCTCCCAGTTCCTCAGAGCTTTGACCAAATTTCAATTAGGACAATGGCATTCCACTTCACTAATCCATCCTTCCACCCACCTGCATGGTGAGAGTTATATGGTTCTTTGGTGTACTGTTAAGTAGAAACTATTCTCCCTGGAGCGTATTCCTCTTGCATCTTAAGGCTGGCTAGCGAATAGAGAATGATTGAGGCCAACTCATGTCACCAAGAAGCCAACTGTTGATGGTTATGGTGCTGGCAATCACTGATACTCACATGGTATCTAATCTTCAGATCTGATCATGTCATTCTACCTTTGCGGTCATTAAAATTAATTTTTAGTGAAGAAATGCAGTTGTGGAGGGGCACAGGCAGTCATATCTTATTTACATATATTTCAAAAGATTATTTGGAAATGTTTGGAACTCAGAATGCATATGTATGGTTAGATTCCTATGTCACCCTATGAAAGTGTATTATTTCTTATAATATACCTTGTGGTATATATATTTATGTGCTGATAAATCCTATCAGTGTTTTTCTGGAAAAATTTACCCAGGGTCAATTCTTGGAATGGATGGTATAGATTCTTAGTCTTGATTGCACATTGGAATTAAAAACCTGGGGAGTTTTAAAAACTATTGATGCATAGTTCTACCTCCAGAAATTCGAGTTTAATTTTGCCTAGGGTGCAGCCTGGGTATTGAGGTTTTTAGATGTCCCCAAGTGATTCTAAGGCACAATCAAGGTTGAGAATCTTGATCATAGCACTAAACTGCAAATCAGGTAAGCCAGGCTGGAGTCCTTGCTTCCCATATGTTAGCCAAGTGACCTTGAATATGTTGCTTAATTTCTCCAGGCCCGTTATTATCATTATGTACAGAATCGAGGCAATAATATCCATTCTTTACAAATTCCAGGGCAGTTTGATATTTTGAAAACAAAAAGAGAAAATGCAGATAATTTAAAAAGGAATCCTACTGACATATAGGAAATGTCATAAATTGGCTAAGAACAGAGCACTTGGAGTCATGGAGACCAGGTTCAAATCAACCTTTCACAAGTTCTGTGACCTTAAATAGGTTGTTTATCCTCAATCCCATAGTCTCCTCCTTAGTACAAAGTGGGTAATAATATTCACTTAAAAGGCTTGCTTTGCAGTTAAAGATGGTCTGGGAATGTGGGTGCTCATGGACTGTACCTGGCAGATGGGAAGTGCTCTATGAATGACAGGTGTCATTACAGCTACTAAGGACTCGCTCCTTCTCCTGGTCAATGGCTTCAGGATATACTTTCTACCAACCTCTCTCATTTACTGTGAAGCGAGAACAGCTCCAACCTATTACCTCATTGCGGAGATTAGGAGTAGGTATGGAAGCTCCCAGGACTCTAGAGTCTTGTGGACCCTAGGCCAGCAGCATGGGCATTGTCTGGGCGCTTGTTAGACATGTAAAATCTCTGTCCCCACCCCAAACCTATTGGATCAGAATTTCCATTTTATCAAGATCCCCAGGTAATTTGTGTGAGCACTAAAGTTTGAGAAGCACTGGCCAAGGAGTTAAGGGACACTGAGAGTGGGTCCTCTTGATAGTCTGAGAACCCTAAATTAGGATTAGTTAACTCATTCCTGTTCTCTCTCTCTCTCTCATCTATGGGTACTGATATCCTTGTTCCTTTTCACTAGCATCATTTGCCACTTCTAAATTTCTTTCATTCTCCTTTTCTTCCTTCTAGTCCTGAAGTGAGCATACAGTCATTTTTTGAGGACAGAGTAGTATTCCTGATGAAACAGACTTGGGTTCACATTTTACTTGGAACTTACTATGTATCCAGCTGTGTATCTTTAGACAAATTACTTAACTTTGCATTTCTTAATCCTTTAAAATAAACCCTTAAAAAGAGGCTTACTTTTCAGAGGGCTTCTGAGCTGATTGGAAGAGACCATGCATATCAAGTCCTTCCTCTAGGCTGGCACAGAACCAAGTGCCTTGTGTGGTAGTTTTGTTCTCCTGAAGCAACAGGCAGACAGGCATGATGTCACATAAGCTTGGTAAAATGACAGTTCAGATATCCCTTTATTGTTTTCATTTAGCGTGTAGAGAAAGAAGGTTTATACTTAAGTACTAATATATTCTTGGGACAATGAAAGGCCATTTAGAGGTTGGTTTACCTTCCAGAGATAAACCAGGCCTAAATTATGGGAAAACTTTTTACTCTTTTCTTATAGCAAGAGATAGCCCCTGATTTCTGTCACTGAGACGAGCTTTGGGAATAAGAAAGTGAGGGAAATTGGATGCGGGAGATAACATCCCTCTGCTCCTTCCTCCGGGCCAACACCAGCATATCCTTCTTCACCTGATATAATAGGCCCAGAGCTGTTCTAGCTGCTGCAGTCTATAAGGGAAAGTGGTGGCAGACACTTTAAAAAAGAGAATTCTAAGCATGGGAAGTGGGTTTGAAAGTAGAGTTCTGAGGGTTTCTGGGTCAGCTGACTGCCCAGCTCTTTCAGGGTCTAGTCTATACGCAGGCAGCAGTGCAAGTCAGACATCATGAGCAAGTGCTTCTGGTTTGTATTTGTAGCCTCGGCAAGTAGATGGGTACCTACGGTAGAAGTAGTAATAATGGCTATTATCTAAGCCATTAATTAGTAAAGTGGTATATGAAATTTTTTCATCTTCACAGTTCGGTTTTCTAGATGCATTTTAATATACTGAAAATATCTGCTTATGAATCTACCTTCCTTGTTAGGCTATACATTTCTCCTAGTTAAGGATTTTGCTATCATTTTCATCTTTGTATACCTGTGGCTTTGCACAATGTCTAGATTATTGTTTTAATAAACATTTATTTAGTTACACTAAACATTTTATGTAGTAAGCATTATAGCCATAGAGCAGATTAAAAAAAAAAAACTTGAAGAACAGAGATGTAAACTGTATTTTACTCAGTTTACAACAGCCAGGTTTTCAACTGAGTTCAATGTGATTCAAATCCAGTTCTCTATGATGCTACCTGGATTACCAAATACTCTCGGACCATGTCAAGAATTAACCAAGTAAACATACTCTATAGACAGGTTTATTTCTTTTCTTTGAACTTAGAACATCTATATCTTAGCCTAGTAATCAAAGAAGAGAAGATTTTTAGAGTAGAAGGAAGTTCTAGACTCACACGTTTGTTAAGCTTGTAGAAATAGTTATATTTAGCTTTTCTTTGGTTAAAATTGCTTTTTTTTCCTTCTTAAAATAAGAGCCCATCTTTCTGTCATTGGAACTCAGAAAGTGCTGGCTTCCAGTGAGAAATGTGTGGTAACTCAGAACCGAGCATATGTATGTTCTTTATCTTATTCTTTCATTTGACTCCTTCCGCATATTTTTAGTCAAGGCTCATATTTCTGTTTCATATTCTGTATGTGAGCTTCACTGATAGTTTCTTGAGAGGACTTTTTGAAGGGTAATCTGAAAGGGTATCTGACAGCTTTTTAACAGGAGCAAAATGTGCATTTAATATGCAGCAGAGAAAAAAGCATTTAATGTGCTTAATTTAAAGCATGCTGATAATTATTTTTCTTTGCATTTCATTCAGGTTGAAATGAGAAGCATTGGAAAGATATATAAAATAAGGATAGGACACGATGGAACTAGTGAGAAACATGAGTGGAACTTGCAGAGGGTAACCATGTTTTTTAATTTTGTTCTTCATAGTTAATATCTGATGACAAGGAACAAGCAGTCTATGTAAAACAATAAGAATGATAATATATTTTTCTAGTTACAGATGCTGCTCAACTTACTATGAGGCTATGTCCTGATAAACCTATGGTAAATTGAAAATATCCTCAGTCAAAAATGCATTTAATGCTGGCAACACAGCAGATGGTTCCCTACTTACCATGATTCAACTTATGAGTTTGTGACCTCATGATGGTGTGAAAGTGACTTCCACTTAGTACAAATTGTAACCGCACTGTAACTCATAAGGAACTCCCTGACCTACAGTGGGATTACATCCCAATAAACCCATTAGAAAATCAAAAAATCATAAGTTGAACCACAGTAAATTGGAGACCATCTGAATTTAAGTAATGTAACCAAAATTTTGTGAGCATAACTTTCTAAACAAATATGGTTTATTCTTGTGAAAGGGTTTTAAAAATAGCATATTTCTAGTTGTATTTGCAAAGATGATCTGTGTTCCTAGAAGAAGATCTGAAGAATACAGTGAAGTGTAAGAATAAAAATGAGTTGTATTTATTGATCATTAGATGAACACTCTGGTGGTACATTTTCTTCCAAGCTTTTTTCTATGAATCTCTTTCAAGGTCTTGTTCTGTCTGTCTGTCTCTATCTCCCTGTAAAATATAAATATAAAATACAACCATGTGCCGTATAAGGATGTTTTGATAAATGATGAACTGCATATACGTTGGTGGTTCCCTAAGATTGTAATGTATCTGAAAAATTCCCATTGCCTAGTGACGTCCTAGCTGTCATAATGTCCTAATGAAATACATTATTCACGTATTTGTGGTAATGCTTTTGTAGACAAACCAACTGCTCTGACAGTTGTATAAAAGTGTACCACGTATAATTATGTACAGTACATAATATTTGATAATAAATACTCATGTTACTGTTTTATGTTTTATCATTTAGAGAGTACTCTTTCTACATATTAAAAAATAAAAGTTAACTATAAAACAGCTTAAGGCAGTTCCTTCAGGGGGATTCCAGAAGAAGGCATTGTTATCATAGGAGATGACAGCCTCATGAGTGTTATTGTCCCTGAAAACTTAGTGGGACAGAGCGTAGAGGCGGAAGACAGTGACACTGATGATCCTGACCCTGTGTAGACATAAGCTAATGTGTGAGTTTGTGTCTCAGTTTTCAATGAAAAAGTTTAAAACGTAAAAAAATATTTTTAAAAATAGAAAAAAAGCTTATAGAATAAGGATAGAAAGAAAAAATTAGTTCTGTACAGCTGTACAATGTGCTTGTGCTTTAAGCTAAGTGTTTTTACAAAAGAGTTGAGAAGTTAAAAAAATTTAAAAGTTTAGAAAGTAAAAAGTTACAGTAAGTTAATTTATTATTGAAAAATATTTTAATGAATTTAGTGTAGCCTAGATGTGCAGCGTTTATAATGTCTATGGTAGTGTATAGTCGTCCTAGACTTTTGTCTTCACATTCACTCACTGAGAATAGTTTCCAGTCCTGAAATCTCCATTTATGGTAAGTGCCCACTATAATGTACCATTTTTTGTCTTTTATGTTCTATTTTTACTGTATATTTCCTATGTTTAGATACACAAATACTTACCATGGCATCAAAATTGTCTATAGTGTTCAGTACAATAACACTCTGTACAGGTTTGCATCCTAGGAGCAATAAGCTATACCATCGAAGCAACTTCAAGTACTCAGGTTGGCTGGTTAGATATTCCATGGCAGGCTCACAGAGGAGGGTAGAGGTAATTTCCCATAGACCCAACTGTCTGTTTTATTTTGGAAGGAGGCCACTGTCTATGCCCATTCAGTGAAGCAGTTAATGTTAATAGGAATAGGAATCTCATTTAGGCTTAGGACATCCATTAGAAACTGTAGGAACTTGATATAACAGAAAGAATTTCTTCTTATCTGTGGGGTGTGTGTGTGTGTGTGTGTGTGTGTGTGTGTGTGTGTGTGTTAAGCAGTAATTTTAGATCCTCTGCTTTTAAGTGTTTAGGAGGATATGGTCTCTCAGTTAAAAAGAATGTAGGGCCATGTCTGTGGGATGATCACCCTGTTGGAAGCAAACTCATGAGCAGAAATTAATATAAATGCCTAGATTCTTTAATGTATTTGACAATGTTTCTTTTTAGAGGATGGTTCATCTTTTCAGTTTTTTTCCCTTTGACTGTGGTCTTTAAGAGGAAATCTAAAGGTTGAAGAAAGGAATGAGTCAAAACTTTCTTTGACATTCTTATAGCCATCATCTCCACTGTCAGTTGTTCCTGGGGTTCTTGTGGGAATATGATGATAGGTTGGCCAAACATACGTATTCAACATGTTACAGGAGGAGTTATGAATATTCATGTCAGTCTTATGATCTGTATTTTAACATTAATGCTGGTCAGTTGTGTCCAAATCCCAAAAGGGAGGGGACGTAATGTGGTGGGTCTGGGCTTTTGTCCCACCATGGCCTGGGAACTAAGTTTTTAAGGTTTATTTGGGATCCCCTTGGCCAAGATGCAGTCCATTTTGTTAGTGAAGGGGGTTGTGCTTAGGACTTTATTCTTTTTTTAGATTATCTTTCCCTTTTTGGTCAAGCTAGGCCAGGGGTAGCATCAATGGCCAAGTTTTTATTTTGTCCCATATTGTTGCCTGGGTGGTGTGGTTGCCTGCCCCAGGTCTGTCATGTACCTTAGTGGGACCCCTATGACCAAGGGGCTTAGAGTCAAAAGACTTATAGTCAATTAAAAGTTCTAGGCCAGAAAGGAATGGAGATGGGCAGACACTCATCAACTTTTAAAATATTTTAAGTAGCATAATCAAAAACAAAGCCAAAAAGTAAGTTTACAAAACTAGCTTATCTATAAGCTCTAGGTTTTGAGCCATCAGCTGTTTAGGTATCTGTACACCTGTCTTTGATTTGAAGGGTTTGAATTAATTTTCTCTCTCAAAACAAGCACTTACAATTTCATGAGCCCATCTCTTCCACGATAGTCTCTGGGCTTAGAGGGAGGATGCCTGATATGGTACAGATTTTGCTGTAGTGTGTTGGCAGTGCAAAACAGATTGCTCAGTGGGACTTAACAGTTTTAAGTCTGGCAATAACACAAAACAAAATTATCAGCAATGTTTCAAACAAAGCACTTCTAAGCTCTGTCTAATTTTGATACTAACTGAAAAAGGAAGCTCACAGGTAGCTAAACATTCAAATTATCTAGTATCACGAATTCAGATAGCAACAAAATTATTAAATGACTCAGTGTCTTTGCATACAAGTCTGTCCTTGTGCCTCCTGAAAGCAGTTTATTTTGATTGCCTTCTCCAGGGTCTAAAGACAAAGCTTTGTTTAGCATGAGTTTGGCATCAGATACTGGCATCAACTTTCAAGATCTAACAGCAGCTGATGTCTTTTTAGATGAGATATGTGTACCCAGGAGTCAAAACCCTGTGACTTAACAGCATAAATATTCGTTAATAGTACCTGATCAGGACATTTCAAAGGGCTGGAGGTGATGACACTGGAGTTCATGGTCTGACTGGGTAAAAGGATTTTACAACCTTGTAGATGATTAATTTTTATAGCTTTGACAAGTTCCCAGTAATGAGTCTAGGTCAGAAACGTAGCTTAGGATTTGATTTTGAGGACATTTGTTAAAGATGTTAAAGGCTCATAGCATTTGATTGAAATGAAATAATAGGTTTCCATTTAACTGAGAATCAGAATTAAAAGACTTTAAAAACAATACAGAAAGATATATGGATATATAAACTTTAATCTTTTAAATCTCATTTTTTTCAGATAATCAAGACCTAATAATGACAACATAGAAATTATCTTGTAAAAATGTAAATTTTTTTTAAAGCCAGTTACCAAAAAGGCAAAGAAAAATCTTCTGTATTGTGATTGCTTCTCTTTATGGGAAGTCCATTGAGATAACCTTGAAGTCAAACTTGACGAAAGGGGTGCTTGAATTAGTCAGACGCAAGAAGAATGTGTCTAGGCTCTCAAGTATAGCAGGGAAATACATGATTCTTTATGACTGCAAGGAAAGTTTTCTGGTTGCATAAGACAATTCACACATATCAAGAAAAGTCAAGAGAGTCAAGAGTAGAGAATCAAGTTATAATGGAGGGAAACACTTTTTTTTTTATATCTTCAAGATAAAACATTTTAGCTTCAGGTCATAATGGCAGTTAGAACCAGAGGAAAAAATTTACAGAAGCTGATGAAAAAGCAGAAGGAGAGAGTTATCATCTCAAGCCTTCTCATATGGAGAAAAGGTTGAAAGAAGTAAGACACAGCAAAAGTTGAACTTCTGAGATTTGATCTGAAAAGTTTTCAAAAATAAGCAGGTTATAGAATTAAAAATATAAACCTCTTGTAATTTTATTAAGAGCAAATAAATATTTTAAGAAGTCTTGTTCTAACATAGGGGACCAATATTTAGAAAGACTATTATAAATTATTTTTAATTATAGCCAACTTAATTTTATATAATTGTTTTATATGTTCTCTTTTATGAAACTTATAATGACTAACATAGACCACTTATAACATGCTTGGACTTCCTGATTTTTTCCCTATACTTCTCTCTTTTAAAAATAGCCAGTTATTTTATTTTATGAAAAAATTCACCATAGAAAATTTTTTCTTTTATAAATCATTTTGTTTTCCTTATAACTTTCCTTACCAAAAATACATCTTTATATCCATAATTTTCTTTACATCTCACTCACCTAATCACTGATTTCTTTCTATCATTTTTTATAACCTTGAGATTACATAAATTGTTTTTTCAATTATAACATAACTTTATGGTTTTTTTCATAGTTTTTTAACCAAAAACCATATTTTACATTGGCATACCTTATATATAGAATTATATGTTAGTTATAATTATTATTCTTAGTAACCTTAAAATTTATTGAAAACCTAGGAAGCAAGAAATCCTGAACTGTTAGATA